AGGCAGAATCAATTGAAAATAGACATACTTATATCACATAACATGTAATTTCTATGTTGCACATCCATACTTGATCCATGTCATTCGGTTATATTAATATACGTGACTATTGATGGGTTTAACTAAGTTAGCTATAGTGAAGGCTCTTTTGATCCTATGTCTTTAAGATCGATTGATGGGATTGTTTGGTGATGCATTTAGGTATTGGTAGTATAGTTCTGATTACTCATATAGCTATTTAATGCATAGTTAAGGTGTCACATAAAACTCAAATGAGATATTGTTGGATTTTTTTCTAACGTGTAAGCTTAATATGGACCTTGATATGCGTATCAGACTATCAATTTAATGGTCTCGTTTAAAAGTGATCAAATATGGTTAAACAATATTGAGTTTTAATGTATCAGGTTTAAGTATGGGTTTATAATGTGCAGATACTATTTTTGTAATATTCTTATTTTATGATGATCGAAATAAAAATTTCAAACACTAGTCGATATAAAAGGCAGTTATGATTCCTGAATCACAAGGTTGTCATTTTATTTTTCTGAAATCTCGTCACCAGAAAAAACTAGTTTTAAGGTGCCATATTGATTCAGAAGATCCTACTGTCAGATGCTAACAAATCTTTTACGATAAATTCAAGTACATTTTCACTTATATTTCTCTTTAATTCAATATGAAAATAGATGTTTAATTTTTACAGATCTATGGATTTTTAAAAAAAAAATTCTAACAATTAAATTTGTGAGAATTTGATTTCTCCATATTAACTCAACTATTTTACTCCTGCTCAAGTCTAATTAATGCTTAACAGAGTATGTCTAATTAATAGAATTTTACTCTCGTTACTTTAAAATCATCAATAACAAATAAAGATATGAGCGAACCAATTTTCACAATCTAATTAAGTTCAATAATGCTAAATTGCAAGTAGAAGAAAGCCAAAAATTAAATAACAAATTTACTTTTGATTCAGCCTACATCAATTACTCTAGTAAGAAAATTTAGCCAGACACGGTGGATTCAACAACAATAATTATAATTGAGAGAAATTTAATCATGTGGTAATCAAGAATAAATTAAAAAAAATATTCAAACATTCGAGTTCCAAAAATATTTAAAATTTCTATCCCAAAAAAATATGCTAATAAAAAAAATAAATATATTACTTGATTAGTTTCTCTTCCTTTCAAATTCTCTGTTTTCCTTGGCTCTCCACCAGGTTGTGTTGGGTCCTCCACGCTTGTCGTCGAGCTCTGCTCCTGTTTGTCTGAGTTTTCGCACTGTATCGCACTTCTGCTTCGAATCTACTTCTCCACTTAGCGCGCCGCTTCGCTTTTACTCTCCAGTGTCTCTTTCTCTGCCTCTACAAGTTTCTTCTTTTTTTTTTCTTTTTTTTCTGTCTACTAGTTTCTTCTTGTTCTACAATTTTTTTTGCTCTTCAAAATGACGCCGTTTTGGCATCTGGTTCCCAGACTCAAAATGATGTCGTTTTGGAAGGCTGGGAATGGGTTTGAATGGATCTGGACCTAGGGTACTACAGATCTGGGTTTTGGCCTTCTTCCTCTTTTTTTCTTCTCTTTTTCAACTTCTTTTTTATGTTCTCTTTAACAATTCAACCTACATAAAAAATTAACTCATAAATTAGTTTTTAACTCAAAACTATTTAAAAATTATTTCAAATTTAATTGAAAAACACATTAAAATATTATAAAAATACAATACATCAATAGTCTTCACTACAACTATCGTAATTAAATCTATAAATGGTCACGTATATCAATATAACTGAATGATATGGATCAAGTATGGATGTATAGTATATAAATTACATACAATGTGACCCAAACTTGTCGATTTCCAATTGGTCCTACTCCAAACTTTAATGAAATCAATTTAAAGCAAATTCAGAGATAAAATAAATCACATTCATTATAATTGAAAAATAACCAAATACATAATACAAAATCCATAATCCATAACCAAAGCTTTAACATAAAGCATGTCTAAATCATAAAAGCAACTATAGTACAAAACTCTGTTGAAACTATACATCCTCAAGAGATACAACACCCATATGAGCAATGTGCACATAAAAAACTTTAGGTGGTAATCCCTTAGTGAGCAGATCTGCAACCATGGAGTTCATCCCGATGTGCTCTACTGATATTTGTTTACTATGAACTCTTTCTTTAACAACTAAAAACTTGATTTCTATATATTTTGACTTTATTGAGCTTCATTTGTTATTGAAATACATAACTGCAAATTTATTATCATAAAATGTCTTTAGTGGTCTTTTAATTCCATTTACAATGCGCAACCTAGTAATAAAATTTTCTTTGCCATATTCTATTATTGGATATCTCATAACATATAATGAACTCTGCTGCCATGGTGGAAGATGTTATGAGTATTTACTTAGAATTCTTTCAGAAAATAGCTGCCCCAGCAAGTAAGAAGATATAACCTGATGTGAATCTCTTACTATCTTGGCATCCAACAAAATTAGAATCAGAATAATCAATAATCTTCAACTGATATGATCTTTTGTATATGAGCATGTAGTCATTTATTCTCTATAGATATCGTAGGATGCGTTTGACTGCTTTCCAATAATCCATACCTGGATTGCTCAAATATCTCCCTAGCATCCCAACATTATACAAAACATCCGGACGCGTACAAACTTGAGCATACATAAGACTCCCTACAACTGAAGCATAAGAAATATTTTGCATTTCTTTAATCTCACAGTTATTTTTGGGGCATTGACATAGAGCAAACTTATCTCCCTTAGATACAGGGATGTAACCTGATTTAAAGTCCTGCATGCCAAGTCTCTTAAGAACTTTTTTGATATATCTCTTTTGTGAAAATCCAAAAATATTTAGAGAGCGATCTCAATGTATCTGAATTCCTAATACAAAAAAGACGTCTTCAATATATTTTATTTCAAATTTTTTTATCAGAAATCTCTTTGTTTCGTGCAATAAATCTATATCATTGCTGACAAGTAATATATCGTCGACATGTAAAATAAAAAATATATATTTACTCATATTAAACTTATGATATACACAGTT